ATATATATATTGAAAAAAGAATTATTAAACCACACCACATTGTAATAGAAATCTAAATTAAACCGCAACGGTGTTCATAATAAACGAACCTAATCGAACCAATTTTGTTCACCTATAAGAACTGATTTATGCTGCTGGGAAATTACTTTATTTTGTTATGTAAGTTACAATTATTCGAAACAGTCTTCCAACTTCAAGCAATCGTTTCCAAATTGTATAATTATCGTTTCAAACTTACTGCATTAATCAGGCTACTGATCCCCAAAAATATTGCAAATTTCATAGAATTTGTAGTCTACTTCCTATTAAAATATTATATTTTAGCCATCAAACCTAAATAAACCCAAGCGAATTTGATGCGTATTTTCTAATGTGTTGGGTTAAGCGGCATCTCGCAGCTTTAAAATTCTACATATATTTCTTACATTGACTTGTATATATAGTGATTTATTTCATTGCTTGGGAAAATGAGGCTTGATAGTAACTATAAATATATGTTAGTGTTATGGTATTTGGTTGTTACAACCATTTCATATGATTTCTTTTTTATTTCAATATATGATTTATTTCTTTCATCCCATCAATATAACTCTTTCCATATTTTTTATTTTGGATATGGAGAAGACAAAAATTAATAGAAATACCTTCCTTTTTCTCTCAATATTTATTATTATTATTATTATTATTATTATTATTATTATTATTATTATTATTATTATAAAAGACAACTTCTAATTACTTCAAATTCTTAACCAAAAACTTTTTCAAAATTCAAAAAAATATATAGATAATATGTTAAAAATTATGTTATTTTTTAATTATACAATAAAAATATAAACAATTTAATATTTTTAATATACATTTATTTATTTATATGTACTCGTGTATTACTTAAATAATACACGGTGTTGTACTAGTTAAAAATATAAAAGCAATATAACTTTAGTGCCATAATCCACATGTCAGGTGAGCATGGTCGAATTCATAATTTACCATGTATGAGATACATAAAACAATTTTGGACATTGATCTTTGGTTTGAAATTGACGGTAGATATTTCTATATATAAATGTAGTGAAATAAAAGACACAAAAGACAAAATAACACGAGTAAACTATTTTGAACGTCGTCCATTCACGTATATCTTTTCTCACAAAATTTAAACTTAAAACATTACAATTCACTTCCATAAATTTGAAGTTGTACAATAATTAAAAATATTTTTTTATCAATAATAACCCTCATTAATAAAGATAGAGATGGATGTTTTGAGAAAAGATGAAGAATGAATATGAAAAGACGTAGTGTATTTATTAGCTAAACGAGAATAATAATGGAAAAAATGTACAAAAGATCCAAAAGGTCATTTATTTGGTTAATGATTGAGAAAGTCAAAATGACATTTAAAAAGAATAAGAGATAGTATTAATTAAGTGTGACTTCAAATTTAATTTGTTGCAGACATTAAGCGTCCCTTACATGAAGGCATCACGGAACAAGTCTACTAGATTAGACAAAACGGTACGATGACAACTTAAACTATATGCTTTCTATTCAATTCTCATATATATTCTCCATAATGTTCGTTAAAACTAATATGATTCAAATTCAAACATCATATATATGTGACTTACACAATTATGGCTTGTGATGGTAGGATCAAAACGAAACGAATTACGAAGAGCCAAAATGGGACTTGAGAAGTCGAGGGCTATGTCTAGTCCCGTTATCGTGCTTGTCTTACATAGCCGAAGGCGGTGGTGGAGCCGTTTGGCCGCCTTCTTACTTTGGTGGATCCGTCTAATGATATTTGAATGTCTCTAAACTAAGATCCACATATATATGTATTCATTTTCACGATTGGAATATAATTAACTTGGTCAATTTTCTGAAAAATTATGCACATGCTTAATTAGTTAATCTTGGTGGAACAAGTTTGGTCATTCGATATAAGGTGGAAGGACCAAGTTTGATCCATTAAAAATCATACATACTCAAAGTGTAATCTCGTCGTGGATTCCAGATTGTTGCTTAAAATCATTTTTGTTGCTTAAAATTGCTTTTGTAAGACTAATTTAAGGCGTACACTTGTATTACTGCTAGATATATTGTATACAGGGGCGGACGGAGGCAGGGGCCCGTAGGGGCACGGGCCCCTTTGCAATTTTTTAATAAAATTAGTACATATATAATTATATTGTAAAATAATTGCAAAGAGATTTTCTCAAAATTTAAGTTGTTTGCATTTTCTATTTGTATTATGTTGTAGGCAACATATATAAATGAGTTATATCGATTTTCCACAAAAGTCAACATTGATTTTGATACTTGAATTTCAGGTGTTCTAAAAATTATAATAAAATTATAATTATAAGTTTAAAATTAGCTACTAAATTGTGTTTGTCATTGATTTTTTAACTGAAAAAATATTTATCTTTATAAGGAAATCCATGAATACTGACGTTGTAAGAATATCCAATGCAAAAGAAAAAAAAATATTGGTATTTAAAAAAGATATATTTAATAAGATTTGAATTTATGTAATTATGAGTGATAGAATATATAAGAACATGCATAGCAAATATATTTTTTTTTTTTTTGCACTTTGTAAATGTTACGTTTGTGCCCCCTCAATCTTGCGAGTCTACGTCCGCCCTGATTGTATATTTCACGTTTGGTGCTCCAAGGCTCAATTAACAGTTGGTACAAGCACTCTCACGAGTTACAGGTTTAGTACCGCAACTTCGCAAAAACCATTGACATCCACGCCTACACATGAAAAATCTATCAAACTTAAGAGGCTTAATAGAAAAATCTATCATAACGACGCCCGTCGCTAGCGCGGGGGTTGTCACGGGCGCGACGGGTACGGAGATCGAGGCGCTCACGCTCGTTGTTTGGACATGGGCACGACGTTGAGCGCACGTCACAGGGCATTGACCTTCGGCGATCCGTTAACTTCCAATGTTGGCTCCGACATTGACCTGTTGCCTTAGTATGTATTATGTATGAAGTAAATATGCATTTAACACTATGCACTTAATATGAACCAAATATGCATTTTGTATGAATTGCATATACAATCCTTATAAACAAAATATGCACCAATAATATTAACTAAGTATCCATTGTTTATGAACTAAATATGCATTTCGAATGAGCTAAATATGCATCACGAATGAACTAAATATGTGTCATGTATAAATTAATTTAGTTAAAACATATATGCACTATGTATGAACCAAATATGCATCATGTATATATATAATTTAAATATAACAAATATGCGCTATAGATGAACTAAATATATATTGCGTATAAACTAGATATACATCATGAATGAACTAAATATACATCATATATATATATATATATGTTTAATTTAAATATAACATATATGCACTATGGATAAATTAAATATGCATTTCTTATGAACTAACTATGCATTTCGTATGAACTAAATATGCATCATGAATGAACTAGATAGGCATCATGTGTATATTTAATTTAAATATAACAAATATGCACTATGGATGAACTAAATATGCATTTCGTGTGAACTAAATATGCATCATGTATTTATTTAATTTAAATATAACAAATATGCACTATGATTGAACTAAATATGCATTTTGTATGAACTAACTATGCATCATCTATATATTCAATGAGAAATGCTCCATTGTCAACCTATTTTACAATTAGGTTGACAACACAAGTGAAAACATCCATAAAAATAAAAATAAAAAAAATACACAAGCGGATATTTCCACTTATGTTGTCAACCTAGTTTACTTATGTTGTCAACCTAGTTGTACATTAGGTTGGCTATATATCATTTTCATATTCAATTTATAGTCGAACTAAATATGCATTATGAATGAACTTAATATGCATAATGAATGAACTAAAATGCATTATGTAAATAATTGATTTAAATATAACAAATATGTACTATGGTTGAACTAATTATGCATTTCGTATGAACTAAATATATGCATATGCATGAACTAAATATGCGTCATGTATATAATTAATTTAAATATATGCATATGCACTATGGTTGAATTAAATATGCATTTTATATGAACTAATTTTGAATTATGAATGAACAAAATATGAATTATTTATTGCTTAATTAAGTATATCAAATTAATTATATAATAAATATGCAACGATAATAACAATTAAGTATGCACCGTTTATGAACTAAATATGCACTTCGTATTAAGTAAATGTGCATTTCGTTTGAACTAGATGTGCAGTCAAAATTCAATTTACAACAATATCCTAAACTCAATATTCTCAACTGAGCATGCACTATGTAATAACTAAATATGCATTTCGATTTACATAAATATGCAAAAGAAATAAATTAAATGAGCATTAATTTAATAATGAAAAGACCAAGGGTCAAAGTGCAATTATTTAAACTTTAGATAAATTGTAGATTGACCCCAAAGATCAAATTAAAATAAATCATGAGTTTATTAAATTGCAACTAGGTTCCCCAGATTAATCTAATTTTTTAAAAAGAAACCAACCCTAAACTGTTGCCCTCTCGCTGAAATCGGAATCCCTATTCTCAGCTGGCAATTTTCCCCGGAGTTGTGCGTTTGAGGAGGGCGCCCTCTGTCTCCTTCTCTAGTTAATAGAGTACGGGTCGAGACCAATTAAAAAAAAAAATTGCCATGGCCGTCAAGTCCACAACCTCCGACCCCGACCATGTCGGCTCTGAGCGAACTCTTCAACCAAATCCTCCGCCGCCAAATCCGTCACCTGACGCTACATGCTGCGAAATCTCATACCCAATCACCGACACACCACGGGTCACATCCTGTTCGCCGATTTTCGATGTTGCACGCCGCCGCGAATGCTTCAGGTGGGGACCGTGAGGCGGCAATCGTGTGGTTGGTGCTGCCGCCGAGATTCAACTATGGCTATGGCTGACCAGCTGCATGGGTTGGCGTCGCTGGCGAGATCCAACTATCAGAACAAACGCTAGTCGACCGGTCAATGGCGTCCGACGACTGGTCAACGATTTATTATTTTTTATTATATAATTATACAAAGATAATAATTAAAAGTTTTCATTAATTAATAAATTTTCTAATTGATGATTAGTTTGAGCCATTGATCTAGACAAAATCAATGGTAAGCTTGAGTCTCATGTACTTATTTTAATGAGTGGTGATCCACCTCTATATATATTATATATTATCTAAATATCTAAAATTTTTAAAATATTCACATGTTTAAATAAATTGTTAAATAATTTATATATCTCAATTTTATTTAATTATATATTTTTATTATATTTAAAATAACTTTAAATATAAAAAAACTATATAAAAAATCAGACCGATCGTTTCAGTCTAATTGACTGGTATTGACCGATAATATTTTAATCAAACAAATCAGACAGGTTGACTGACTAATTCTCTGTCCATTTGGTCGGACTGTCCGTCCCGATATTAAAAATAAGGAATGAATCATGATTATATTATTTATATATTTAATTTTTAATATAATCGTAATATTAATCGTGCCGCACGTGTCACGTACTACAGTACTAGAATGCTCCAAACAAGTAATGAATTAGGATCAAACAGTGGATCACGATCAGGCCCGTCAAACATTTGGGTTGGGCCCAACTTCGTTAATATACCAACTAACTTTAAAATAACTGGAAATTTAAGTTTGACTCTGTTAACAGTAAATGAAATCACCAACGACGGGCAGAAACAAAATGATAGCACCACCAACTCAACGGAGACGCAGAGTGAGGAGAAGAAGGGGTCCGCTGCCGCCGGAAAGGAATCCACTAGCACCTCTAGCGGCCGCCCCTCCTAGCGTTAAACTTGTTAACCGTTGAGGTCTTTTATGTTAATTTTAATTAATCTACAAATATATGAACATAAGGTTATGTTATATATTTTAGCCAACTATAATTATGTAAAAAATGTGGGTAAAAATAGTAATTTTGTTTGTGCGAGCAGCGATATCCTTGCGAGAAATTGTATTCGGGCCGAAATTCAGACGGGCCCCCATCAGTAAACCGAAGCTTGGAGAATCCCTGATTTCATGCCGTCTCCCTACAATCGCTGGAGCATAAGTATTTTGGATTTTGCAGTTTCTGACAATTGCCTGCTTCTTTTTCTCCATTAAAAGATTAGAAAGAAGAAATTTTGCGCTGTGGGAAGTGAAGAAAATGGATGCTGACCCGCGGCAGTATGAGAACATTGTAAGACACTTTTTAGGCACTATCTTGTATTTATCCTTTTTGATGGTTTTTGTGTTTATAAATCCACTGCGTGTTTTTTGTTTGTTTATTTGTTCCATTAAAAATTTGCTACGTATTGACTATTGAATAAAGAATTTCAGTTTATATCATTTGATTTTGAAAAGGAGCATGAAATTTAATGGCTTCATGTTTGTTAGTTGATACTTGACAATGGTAGGCTTTCTGTTGAATAGACATTCTATTGTTTCTTGAGTCTGTTTTGAGCTTTTGTGCGATTTATAGGGTTCATAATAGCGTTCATTAGGGTTTGATTGCTGAAGCTCGAGCCTTTCAACTACTTAGCCCACCAGCCCTCAACTCTTCAAAAAATAATTTTGGTTTTTGGGTTTCGTTAGGTTATACAGCGGTTTTTGTTATATTCCCAGATGCATAGCCCTGTTATTTGAAATTGAACACAATAGAAGAATGTTTGAGCTAATATATATTTTCCTTCTTCCCACATTTGCACTTCAAAGAAATGTCTTTTTATTGGTGTTCTAGTAACCCTGCTCAAGACAGATTTTACGATCTCTCTGCTAGATGACTCTTTCTCCATATGTCTTGGTTGATATCGTAATACTTCTTCTCGTTATATTCTTCTTCATATTTGACTTGTATCTGAGAACCACAGAAAGGTTCTGAAAAACATAATCAAACTCGCTAAAAGGAGGTTCAGTGTTTTTTAACTATGGATTATTGTATCTGCCTATTTCTGTAACTACCATGCTTGTGGTGTTTATTTTCCTGGCAGGGCTTGAATGATAATGACATCAACAAGATTATTATCTCATATCTTGTGCACAGTTGCTACAAAGACACACTGGATGCATTTGTTGCATGTACTGGAGAAAAGCATCCCGTTAGTAATCTGGAGGATATGGAGAAAAGGAAGCGTAATGGCCTCTGTCACATTACTTCTGCTATTCCAACATTTAATGCAGTGGTTTCATTCTCAAAGTTTCAATGGCTCTTACTATTCCAAAATGTTTTGCATTTTATGTTTGCTTGATTCGCTAACACGGTTCAGATAGGTGCAAAATGATAGCATTGTCATAATGTTGAGAAACCTACGTGATTTAGTGTTTGTGAGCCTTCATATATAATGTCTGAAGGAGTTTGAAGAGCATCTGCTATTACGACATTTGACTAATGGATATCTTCTCGGGTCCTGCTTGGATGTCCTTATTTTGTAATATCAGTCTTCTTATGATATTTGACCTGTTAATCTCATATTCTTTTCACTATACCATATTTGTGAATGAGATTATTATTTTCTATTTTTGTTTTTTTTTCCTAAATCCGACATATTTGTGCTGCAAATTCAAATGTTGCTCTTGTTTCCAGTATCCTGAAGAAGTTTTACTTATTCACTAGATTGGCAATTAAAGCAACAGAAAATCCTAGTTGGAAAATGAGATGATTGGTCACGACCCCTTAACTACTTTTTTTCTCTACATTTCTAACAAGATAATAGATGCTTAGGTATACAACAGCGTCTGATGATGACCTGTAAGCTCAATTGCCTAAAGGACTTGATAAGATAGAGAAACTTGGAATGGGAACAAGTGTAGTGACCAGAGAAGGGCAACCTAGTCAAGGCTATCAAGCATTCCCCATGATAGTAACTTTTTGGAAATGGGTTTTGTTTTATATGCAATAGGAACACAATTATTTATGTAAATTTGCGAGATTGAAATTTAAACTACCCTAAAGGAAAATGAAATGAGGTCAGAATAGAAGAAAGCATTAGATGGGAGGTGAGTTTACCGTTTCAAGGGTTTTGTAGTATTATATTACCACAACCAAATTATATTTCTCTTTACTCAACTTGTAATGTAAAGCTTTTTTATAGTTCACTTGTGCAACTGTTAGGCTCAAATAGTTTCGGCAATGCTTTTGAATTTTTACCTTCAGGAATATACCATGAGGCATTGAAGGGGAATGTGTCCGAGGCCATCCAGTTGACAGAAGAATTTGCCCCTGGTTTGTTGGATGAGGATAAAGCTTTGCATTTTGACCTCTTGAGCCTTCAATTTGTTGGGATTGTGTGCTCTAGGAAACTGTAAGCAAAAGTTGGTCTTGCTTAGGAGTTTAAAAGCAGCTGCAGTTTTTAGTTACACCATCTCTCTTATCTTTGGCAGTGATGAGGCTTTAAATTTTGCTCAGTCCAAATTGAATCCCTTTGGGAAAGAGCAGAGATTTGTGGAGCAGCTTAAAGTATGTTCTTATTGCTGTTAATCTATGAAAATAGTCAAATACCATCGTATTTCTAGCTTAATTAGTTGTAAATATGACAATTTATGAATATCTTTGCTATTCTTTAAGGACTGTGTTGGTCTTCTTGCATATGAAGAACCAGAAAAGTCCCCGATGTTCCATCTTCTAAGCCCAGAACATAGACAGCACATTGCAGACAGTTTAAACAGAGCGATTCTTGGTATTTCTTTTTTAGGGATATTTTTGGTTACCCTTTTTTCTCTATTCATCATCTGAATAAGTTTTTACACTCTTTACTTTGCCTTTAATTTTCCAGCACACAGTAAGCTTCCCAGCTACTCAGCAATGGAAATGCTAATACAGCAGACAACTGTTGTTGGACACTACTTAAGTCATGAATTCAGCAAGGTGTGAAGTCTCGTATTCCTTGCATACATTGTTCTGACTATTTTTGAATGGTAGCTATATGAAATTATGAATTAATGCTTTCAGTTTCTTTTGCTTTATATGTTTTCCTTATGTGTATATATACTGCTTTTCCAGAAGGATGAGGTTGTAGTATATATGAGCAAAAAAAAGGAAAGAATTTTGATCTGTCACACTTCGCCATTTACTGTGTTAGTTAATTTAAAAACTAACTGACTTGCTCTTTGTTACCGTATTAGGACGGGCATCATCACCAACCTTTCTCTTTAAAAGATTTTCTCAAGAGCTGAGCCTTCTGGATTTCTTGAAGCAACTGTTCAGATGTGTGACATTTGTGGCGTTGAGGTGTTGGTGGCACGTTAAACTTCTCTTATGATTATTTATCTATAGTGCACATAGTACTTTATTAAGTCGCATCAGTCATGAGTGAAGTTTGTAACTATCCGGGAATTTCGAGTCGAGCCGCATATTCCAGGATTTTAATATAGCGTTAATGTGTTTCTACGTGTTTGAGGTGTAAAGTCGTAGTATCGTAGAGATTGAGTGCTGAGTTTTATTCTTGTGAAGAGGCTCTCCTGAGGGTTATCAGTTTATGTAAATGTTTTAGGGTGAGACTTTTTTAGGAGAGAACCTTATCAGCCTCATGATCGTCTACTATGTATAATACTATGTATAATACCAAATGTAAAAAAGTAACAAAATAAATGATCATAATCATTAATATTAACTTAGCAAATGAGATAAAAATAAAACAATCTAACTACCAATTTAAATTTTATGTCCTTGAATTAATAAATTTTTATTTTTTTTTATTATTATTATTTTTTATGACAGGTACTTTGAATCGGTTTTTTTCGGTATTTACGGTATGACCCCGATACAGACCGGTATAATCGTAAATTCGGTATGTTGTGTGCAGTTATACCGTACCAATAGCATGTATCCAGTATTATCGGCCGGTACGATACGGTATTGAAAACACTGCTTTGAATTCTAAATCAGTAAAACGATATCACGATTTTTGATACGAACACCTTGTCTCGCCATAACAGCCCATTTGATATAAGTAAAATAATAAAGAGAAAATCAACTAAGAACTAATTAAAACTTAAAATATTGCATATATACCAACATAATATTTTATTAGCAAACATACAAAATCAAATAGAAATATTGTATATATACAAGGTCTACATCTATTTCTCCTAAGATAATTAATAAGAAGGTTTTTCTTTACTTGATAACTGGCCGGATTTAATAAGATTTTACTTTTATAACCTTTCACACTTCTACCTGATCTCTCTGTCAGAAGATCCTACAAACCCCATGCCACCTCCAAATCTTCTCTATTATTCTTCATTCCTCTACCATTGACGGCATTATTCCAATCTGAAAGTTTTTCTGTTACCCATTTTTTCTTCGACTCACACATCGGAAGGCTGAAGCAGCCCATTTTTGTCATTGCTTTCTANCTCGGATCTAGTTAGCATTAGCCGTTACTCAGTAGTTGGGAGTTTCTAAATCTGTGTCCCAGCGCAATCGTATTGTCTTTCTTGGTATTCGTCTCCGAGTGTCTTCTTTGTGTGTTGGAGCTTTGGAGTAGCTTGACGGACAGTGATAAAGGCTTTATTCACATTGCTTTAGAATTTTCTAGCGTTTAGTAGTGTATTCTATGTCTGTGTTTGTGTTGTTAATTGTAGTGTGTTTTTGTTTTTTGTTGTGTGCTATATATTTTATGTTTTAGGGTCTCTCTTGGGGAGTGTTTGTGTCTCCCATTTGGCGAGTGACTTCACCTCCCATTAAAAGAGTATTGTATCTACTTTGAGTCGTCTGGCTCGAGGTGAATCTCCTCGTTGGAGTTTTCTTTCACCTTTGTGTTTGATGTTTTAAATGCAAAGCAAAAGTGTATTGTACTGCAAGTAGACATACTAATGTAATCTTTTTGACGTTAATAATATTTCTATTGTTTGGAAAAAAGAAGGCCTATGTATGATTATATTGTGAATGTATTAACTTTGCGAAAAAAATTAAAGAGTATGATAAAAATGTTAAATTGTCTAAAATAAAATGAGTTATGTAGCTGGTCATTGTCTCTAAAATGTGTGGGCACATTAAAGTTAGGCCCTTGAACAAAAGAAATTAGGCCAGGCCCGTCCAAACATATGGGCTGGCCCGGCTTCTCTAAGATCCCAATAGCCCTTCAAATGGCTTCGTCACTGTAAATGAAAAAACGAGGACCAAAAGTATTGCACACAACAGAGTGAGATGGCAGACGTGCAGAGAAGAAGGGGTCCACCGCCTCCTCCTCCGGGAAGAGGTCCACCGCCGCCTCCCGCGGCCAGGCCTGCTCCTCGTGTTGAACCTGTCGACCGTGAGAAGGTCTTCTTCTCTCTCTGTTTATATTTGATTATGATACAATACAAAGTGATTCTGTTCTTTTATGCATCTTTATGTAGTTTCGGCTGAACGTTTCATTTGCTATCCTCTTTATACGTTGTAGCCCAGACTTATTAATAGTCAGAAGTGTCATTTGTAAAGGGATTTTTTCTTTTTTTTTTGTGCAAGTCGGTTTAGGAATTTAGGGTTTATGGAAAAATGCATCCAAAATTTCATGCTCAATTTCCTTTCAGAAAAAAAAAAAAAGATTTTTATGTTTTGTGCATTTGGAAAGAGATACGAAATCGTTCAATTACCTATTGAAAACACTAAATTTGAGGAATTTCACTGTTGTGCATTCCAAAGTCTCTTTTGAAATCCATTTAAACCTGGGACAGGTACATGGAAAGTGAATTTCAGGAGTTCACAAGCTACATTATTTTAGTAAATCTGTAGAATTCTGTGGGAGTTGTTAATATATAACTAACATTACAAAGTCTTATATTGAAAATGGAAAGTTGAAACAATGTTAAATGAGTTATATGGCTAGAATGACTAGCGGACTAATTATCAATATTCCACATTGGTGTATGCAGAGATTATAGTTTGTTATGGAATATGACATTTTTATGTCAAAACCTTATTTTTATGTCAGAACCCTAGTTCTAAGTATTTAAAATTTTGAGCTGGTTAAAACTTAATGGAACTCTTTCATCTTTCTCTTGTTCTTCATATTCCTTTCCCCTACAGTTATTGAAATTAATGTTTCACTCATGTATTGCACACTTTCTTGTTGTATAATATTTTTCTGTTCCCACTGGTTGGTTATTGCAGACTTGCCCGTTGTTGCTTCGCGTTTTCACCAAGGTATGTATTCCATTTTTATTACAAGGTTTTGTCGTGTCAATAGTACAGTTNCTTTGAATTTCGTCAAATTTGTTTTCACAGGTAGGAGGTCATCATACTGATGATGATTTTGCTGTGAGGGGCAAGGAACCCAAAGATGAGGTCCAAATTTACACCTGGATGGATGCTACTTTACGTGAACTAACTGATCTGGTACAGGAACTTGCTCGATTATCTATCCCTTTTTCCATTCTTAGACTTAATATCAGTTGCACGCATATGTACTTCCCGATTTTGACTTTTATGAATGAGAAGGACTACCTATGCTGTAACCTTTTTTGCTGAATAAAAGGATTAACTGGATGCATTCAGTTCAAATATTCTAGTTTCATAGCTGTCACGACTGCTCTCTCATTAATTTTAAGAGGAAAACTTGCATTTACCATCTTTAATTGTCTTTTTCTTATCTTAATGTTGTTTTACGTTTTTTTTTCAGGTTAAAGAGGTAGCTCCAGAAGCAAGAAGAAGAGATGCTGTTCTGTCTTTTGCTTTTGTCTATCCCGATAAACGTGGTCGGTTTGTGGTTAGGGAGGTCAGTTCTATTAGCCCCACGCACTTGTGCATATGCATATAATCATCAGTATCTATTATCCTGGTTTTTTTGTGTAGTAGTTTATGTTTCGATTGGAAAGCATTCCTTGAAATTAGAGTAGCAATGAGAGCTGTCTTGGGCTTTTCATTTACACATAAAACTTTCTAAATGTTTGAATGAAATATTCAAGGAATAGTTAAGTATTCTCCAAGTTGATGCAAAAGCAAAATGCATAATACTTCTATCTGATTTTTTTTATTTTTCTTTCAAAGGTGGGGAGAACATTTTCTTACCCTAACCCAAGACGGCCTGACAGTGGAAACAAAGCCTTGGGTGATCTTAGTTTTCAGGTAACCTCGTATATCCTTTGTGTCCAGGCAGCATAAATTGTAATTGTAAGCATTGTAAAACTGCAAACAATATCGTTTGGCATTACAATTTCCTCACTAAAGCTTTTATATTTAGTTATTTACCTATATAATAACCCTCTCCGACGTCAGGGTGCACTTTCGTTTGGCACAGACAAATTTTGAGTATTTTTTCCTTATAAACGGTAACTTATACTTTTTTATTCTATTTTGGGGCTAACTAGGCCAAAAAAATAGGGGGTCTCTTACTATCTTATGTAAATTTACCGGAACTAATATAGATTCGATTATATCTTAACTTCTTTCTCACAGATCGGCGATTACTTGGATGTGGCGATCCTAAACCAGTAGTTCATGTTGGACTCCTTAGTTGATTCACGAGCATCCCTGTATTGAGTTTACCATATCATTTTTGCACTACGATCTTCGCCAATGGGCCTATATGACAAAAAATTGATTGTTGTGATAGTTTATCCGGATTGTGATGTGTATTCTGTCTAATTTTTTTACTTGTGCCCAAATTTTGGGATACTTTGCTTTCTGTCTATGACTTTGAATTTTCCGTGGTCTCATAATTTTAAAGATGCAGATTTACGTGTAGAGTAGCAATGTTCAATGGTTTGGCTGGCTCACGTTTTGAATGTATAAATCTGAGATGTTTAGATAAATGCTAGTAATATTATTGGACAATACATAAACTTTTGGATATGAGTTAGTATCATGTAGTTGAGCTTTGAGCACTTTGAGCTTGTGTTTTATAATGTTCAAGCATTGTTTGCATTCTTTTGTTTTTTGAGCNTATTCATTTTTTCGAACTTGCTCGAGCTTGAGAAGAAAAAAATAAATAAAAAAACAATATTTTCATATTTTAGATATTCTATTAAAAATATATTATATATAAATATAAGAACAAAATAAAATTATGTTAAATTATTACTCACAAACATTATCGAACATTTATGTTTGTTCAATTATTAATCCAACGTAATTTTTTAATAGAACTCAACTCATTTAACAAACAAACGAACGCTTGTCGAACGGGTTCAAATGTGTTGTTAGGGTATTGCTCTGCTCATAAGAAAAAAATCTAATTTTTTTTTGGCCAATTAAGCTCAATTCATCTTCCATTAGAGAGGAGAGTGAGCATTGGAGAACGATATGCCGAATCTGGACATGGACTTTGAGTGAACTGACTTAGAAAACAATTTTCTTTAAGTTAGGATTTCGGATTTGGGGATTTTAGAGGGTTTGTAGGTTTTTTCAATTTTCTTTATTGATAGCCTCTATTGATTTAAGCCTGCAAAAACACGCATACGACTCACATAAACAAGAACAACTTTTTCACACCAATGAAGAAAAAATGTAGAGTGCGCATGTTACAAGAAAAGAAGAAAAAAAAAAGAAAAGGAAAAATACATTGAATTGCCGATCCTCGTTCGAGGAGGACGACTACCTCATTTTTTTCATTTTTTGTTTTTTGATTAATATACAAAATTCCAGAATACCTAAACATATATTTATTTATTTTTTTTAAATGGAAACCACTTTATATCCGGGGGTAACATGAAAAAAAAAAGGTGAAGTTCGTATGGCTGTTTGTAAAAAAAAAGTTTATATAGTAAAATGTGAAAATCATGATAGTTCGAATGGGTCACAGTTTTTTACTCTTTCTATTTTCTACTCTCTATGCAACTATGCTACTTAATCTTTATGCAACTATGCTACTTTATAACATATATACACATATCATTATTTTATTATTATACGTATCACACGGTACTTAGGGCATCCGCATTGGTTAATTTTTTTTCCATTCATTCAATCAAAAAAGTACACTCTCTCTCTTCCACATCATCTCCACGTCACCTTTCCACTAATTCTCTCTCCATTTAAACACACACTCACTTCCCTACACATTCATTTAAATACAAATATGGAACCCATTATATCCATTCATTCAATATAAATTTTAATATTTTATTCTCAATAAATATTAAAATTTAATATTTTTAAATTATAATAATAAATTTTAAATGCATGAAAATAAAAGAACACTACAAGACCAAAATAACCTAATTTTTTTTTGTAGAGAAGTGTTAAATTTTTTGTGTAGGAAAAGTGTAAGTATGAAGTGTATTTATAGGCAAAAGAAAATGAGGATAAAAAATATAAATAAAAATATAATAATAAAAAACGCAGCTGAATTAAAAAATAAAATAAAATAAAATAAAAAGCTCAAAAGATCCGTTAAGAGCAATGAACGGATACATTGGTCCCACAATTAAATGAACGCGTGCAGTGGTTGAACGAATATTGAGGCATTTAAATGAGGTGCATTAACGCACGCTCTTAAAACTAATAACATAAACTATTGTGCACCATAAACATTATGCAGTTAGATTAGTCATATCAGACCTTCTCCACCCGACACGCAAATGCGACCAAAAAATTACTCCAACTGAGCAGGAAACGCAAACTGAAATTGTGTTTATGTGCTTCTCTCTCCTAGTGAGAACCCATATTTGCGTTTCAGTCGCAAATTTTGAGTTGCTACTTTTAAAATTGCAATGTCAGTCTTTTTTTTTTAATTTTAATTATCATTTGTGAAATTTATTATAAATATTTTATAAAAAATTTATATAAATACTTTAAAATAGTTTATCAACATTCTATTAAAAGACAGGTAATAAAATTCAAACAATCTTTCTAAAATAAATTTTTTAATTAAAATGAGTAAATTTCAATTTTTGGCTCATTGAATAATTATGTATTCCAATATTTTGCATGTACGAATTATCACTTTACAATTAATTTAGATCATATAATATTTAAAATAACAAATATTAATTTTATATTTTTTCATAATAATAATGTAAAATACTAAAAAAATCTTAATTTCATAAAAATTAGTTTGTATAATAATAAAAATAATAAATATATATTTATCATTTATTTTTATATATTTCACAATAATAATATAAAATATACATATTATTTATGGTATTTCTATTTATCTTGTGCCTTGTAATTTTTAATTTTAAATGAATATTTATTTTTCCGATTTTATTATGTATATGATTATAACTTTATAATTAATTTTTATTACATAATGTTACAATCAAATTTAAAATAATAATATGGTTTAATTTGTTAAGTTGTAAAATACGTGAGTAGTATTGAAAAGTTATAAAAGTTAATATAAAAGAGAATACTTTAAAAATATTTTTTTAAATTTGAAAATGAGTTTTGAGTTGGAGATTGAGTTTCCTTAATGGAATAAGCATCTGGATTGGTGGATTTCTCATAATTGGTGCTGCTGCGCACGTGCGGCCATTTTTATGGTAAGAGATTATGATCCAACTACTCCATACAACAAATGAATTTGAGAATAAATTTTTCAGTTAGAGATAATATCATTAATAAAATGTATATTTATACTTTAAAATATAATGCTTTCTTTATCCTTTTTTCAAAGCCTACAATGAAATCAACAATTATTAGATCCAATTGTGTGATATACTAGGACCGAGTTAAATTAGATGAGCTTTAATCATCTATACACCGACTGATAATCCTAAGATCATTTTGAGTCCTTTTTTCTCCTCTCCCCCTCCCTCTCTCTCTCTCTCGATCGAGCTGTATGGTGTCAATGTACAATCCCTGGGCTAAAAAATTGTGAAATTTTCGAAGTTCTATGACAGGTTATGGCGATTAAGAGAGGATTATTATCTGGTGCGGGCATCAACAGGAGCAAAGGCTCTGGATCTCGCTTTCACATTGCCGTCCTCGTCTTCATCTTCTCTTTCCTCGGTTTCTCCCTTTTATTCTTCGGCCGCGGCATCTTTACACCGGCAACCTCGGGTTGGTTTTCTTTTAATCTGGACTTTCANTTTGTGTTTCTCCAGGGCCCGATATTGATAGATTGCGACAATGAAGAATCTTGTTGTTAGAAATTCGGACTTTATAGATTTTGACAGTGGAAGTAGGATATATTAAAATGTTGAAACTTTCTTTGTTATTATTATTATTTTTTTTCTTAGACAAGAAGTCCTAAAAATTTCTGTGTCGGATCTATGGTGATTATGTTCATAGGTAAAGTTCATGTGTATATGTGGGGTTTCTCCTCTTCTGTTATGAGTCGATGCGAGGTAGTTATAAATCTCACGAAAGGTGCTTTCATTTTCAATGGCGCTTCTTTTGTAATCCAGAATGAGTGCGCTGCTTATTGGATGGAAAGCAATAATGTCCACAAATAAGTGCATGTGTGGCATACTCCACATGTTGTGTTCTTATTGGTCATTAAAGGAAAAAATGGTGTTTCGAATTTCAAAATTAGAGCTAAACTGATGCAACCACTAGCTCGCTTGGTTGGTTGACCTGAAGCAATAAGACTCTGCATTAAAATGCAAATTTGTTTCAGTTCCAGTTAACCATTCTGTGATTATGTCCCTTTGGGTTGATATCATGTTCTTTGAGTCGATCGAACATTTTCTCGATCTTGTTATTCTTTACGAATGTAACGACACACTCCAATGTTTTACTATTTGTCCTCTTCTGATAACAGAACATATTTGGACTTAGGTAATTAGGTTTGCACGTCAACTACTGTATGTGCAGGCATTGTTACTTTCACTTCGGTTTTTTATATTACTTCTCTTTTGAATTTGACTTTAAGTGTAAATTTACATGTCTTCAGGCGAAGATGAATTATCAGTTATTTCTACCAGACAGGTAAAATTTTTCGACACATACTTCATTTGGCAATATATTGGGTGTGATGTAGATAACGAGGAAGAACTATTTAAAACAGGACCTTACTTGGAGAGAGAAGCTCGCATTAAAACATCTTAAATCTTTATTCTCTAAAGAGGTATGCATTTGACGAGCACACGTGAGAATTTTAGGAGTATAAATTTATTTGTGTTTTTTTCCACTAATTTGCAATTTTGCATATTCTTTTAGGTAATTGATGTCATTAATGCCAGCACAGATGAATTGGGGCCTTTAGATGTCAATTTTTTCCGGAAAAATGGGTTGCCTGCATCTTGGAAAATTGTTGGGCATGAATCTATATCTAATGCCACTTATTCTGAGGTATGCATGATAATGGTGATTGATGTAACATTATCGTTTATCTGTGAACAAACTGTTTTATTATTTGAATTTTTTCCTGAGCTTTTCTTTTATCCATTTAAGTCCACTGGAGCATCCTCAAAAACAAAGCAAGAGGCATCTGTAGTCAAAGAGGGCAATACTTCAAATGGTATTATATTTTTATTATTCTGCTGATATAATGTTGATTTTATTACATTTGGATATAAATTCTGACACGCATATTCGTTTTACGCAGAGGATAATTCTGTATTTTTTGAGACACCGGCTAAGCTGGTCAGAAGGGTAAGTGACATGATTTGTTCGTGTATATCTCATTTACATAATTGTTGCAATAAGGAAACTTCTCTTATGTTCTCTTTAATGAGAATCTTGCTGGTCTGCTAGGATTTTACATTCACAAATATTGTGTTCTCCTCCTGATTTATGTTGTTATTCCTGCAGCAATTAAGAGAAAAAAGACGCGAGAAGCGCGCTGCTGATTTGGTTAAGCAAGATGATGAAGTGACTGTAAAGCTTGAAAATGCAGCTATCGAACGTTCTAAATCAGTTGACTCGGCTGTACTGGGGAAATATAGCATCTGGAGGAAAGAAAACGAGAATGAAAACTCTGATTCAAATGTCCGCCTGATACGAGATCAAATGATTATGGCAAGGGTGTATATAAGTCTTGCAAGGATGAAAAATAAGCTTGATTTGGCCAATGAATTGCAAAACCGGCTCAAAGAAAGCCAGCGGTCATTAGGAGAGGCAACTGCTGATTCTGATTTACATCACAGGTAATGAATGAATAAAATTATCCATGTTGAACAGCTTCAATACAGTCATATAGTAGATTGCTTAAATTTTGAATATTCTCAATGACAGTGCACCGGAAAAAGTTAAATTGATGGGGCAAGTGCTGTCTAAAGCAAAAGAGCAATTGTACGACTGCAACCTGGTCACAGGGAAGCTAAGAGCCATGCTCCAGTCTGCAGACGAGCAAGTTAGGAGTCTAAAAAAGCAGAGCACGTTTCTTAGCCAACTAGCTGCAAAGACAATCCCGAATGGGCTCCACTGTTTAGCAATGCGCTTAACAATAGATTATTACCTCCTTCCACTAGAGAAAAGAAAGTTTCCTCAGAGTGAGAATCTGGAGAATCCAAATCTGTACCACTATGCCCTCTTCTCTGACAACGTTCTTGCTGCTTCAGTAGTGGTCAACTCAACCATTATGAATGCCAAGGTGTGGAGTTCTTTCCCTTTGCTATTATCATTGTACTATTAGGGTTTGCATTTTGATTTGTGTTCCTCTTATGCTAGATTTAGTGTGGGCGACACTTTGTGAGGAAAACTATGAAATTGTAGATCTTGTTCGAATTTTCAATTCATGTGATGCATTTTAAATGAAGTTCTTTTTCAGATGATATAGGACCATGCAATTGTTTTGCGATTACTTACAGATGATTTGTGAATAGCTAGTCTGTCCATTGCAAATGGTGCTGGAAGAGTCATTGTTGACAATTCTCCTGGCATAGTGCTAATAATGGACTAGATCAAAATGGCTTAATTAAATTCTAGTGCTTCTTCTATTAGTGAAGTTTCTAGAAAAAAAAAATATATATATCAAACGGCGCAATGCACCTTGAGTCGCTACGGAAACAACCTCCTTGTATAATTACAAGGGTAAGGTCTGCGTACAATTGACCCCCCAGACCCCAACCTGTTGGGAATATACTGGGTATGTTGTTGTTGTTGTTGATTTGTGAATAGCTAGATGGTTTGATGTTTGATCATCTGAGGATTTACTGCATTTATAAGTGCATGTATACAAGCACAAGGACATACCCCAAGTACACACACTAAAGTGCTGTAGTCCAATATTTTGCTCCTAACATGTGAGTTTAGTATACATCATATGATAATACAAATTCTTATATATGTAAAATAGTGATCTTTAAATTTTGAATCCATTGTCTGTTTCACAGTATATCCACCCATGACACACCATTTAACTGACCGTTTCTGCATGCATATATACAATTCATTTTTTAGCTTTCACTATTCTCATTTTATTAATTCCCATGTCAGAGGCTTGTATGTCATCCTGAGCTGCTTATGAAATGTTGGACGATTTCTCATGGGACATACATTGCATTTTTGTGACTTGCAGGAACCTGAGAAACACGTTTTCCATCTTGTTACCGATAAGCTAAATTTTGGCGCAATGAATATGTGGTTTCTCTTGAACCCTCCCGGTAAAGCCACAATCCATGTCGAGAATGTTGATGAGTTCAAGTGGCTCAACTCATCCTACTGTCCAGTCTTACGCCAGCTGGAGTCTGCTGCAATGAAAGAATATTATTTTAAGGCAGCCCATCCAACCACACTTTCCGCCGGCTCATCTAACCTCAAGTACAGGAACCCAAAGTATCTTTCAATGCTTAATCATCTGAGGTTTTATCTCCCTCAGGTTTATCCGAAACTGGATAAGATTCTCTTCCTAGATGATGACATTGTTGTTCAGAAAGACTTGACCGGGCTCTGGTCGGTTGATCTGCATGGGAAAGTAAATGGTGCGGTCGAAACTTGTGGCGAGAGCTTTCACCGGTTTGATAAATATCTGAATTTTTCGAATCCTCACATTGCCAAAAACTTCGACCCAAATGCTTGTGGATGGGCGTACGGGATGAACATGTTTGATCTCAAGGAGTGGAAAAAGAGGGATATAACTGGCATATACCACAAATGGCAAAATATGGTATGGTTCTTTATTTATGTAGAGAGATTTNAGTATAAGTGTCTATATGAGATATGGTGTCATATTTATGGGGAGAGTTTGTCAACTATTTTTTATTTCACTTTTATACATATATTTATTTATTTATTTTCGATTGGTAATTATTTATTTATTTTCTTGATCATGTGCATGATGTTGATTATTTCAGGAGAAACGGCATTATATCAAATGCTAGTTTTCAGGGACTCATTTCCTCACACAAACTCGTTATAATGAAGTAGTTGTCTTGTACATACAATAGTCTCTTGACTGAAATACTTTTGTATCATTATTAAAAGAAAAGCAGAAAGTATTTATACTTCATTTGTTTGTTTCCATCTGCTGTTGGTATTAGAATGAAGATAGGGTGCTCTGGAAACTCGGAACTCTACCTCCAGGTTTAATGACCTTTTATGGCCTCACTCATCCACTTGACAAGTCATGGCATGTGCTTGGTCTGGGTTACAACCCAAGCGTAGATCGTTCGGAAATCGAGAATGCAGCCGTTGTACACTACAACGGCAACATGAAGCCCTGGCTTGAGCTGGCGATGACAAAGTACAAGCCATATTGGACAAAGTACATAAAATATGACCACCCGTATATACGCAACTGCAAACTAAGTGAATGAAAGCGAACAGAGGTGGAAAGGGGGAATGGGAAGGGATTAAGGCGTGTTGAAATGGTCGAGGCAAGTTTTGTGTTTTGGCCATTCATGAAATCGTGCATTTGTCCATGAAATTTAATCCAATTTAGCAATTCTTGATGTTGAGAAACTCGAAAGTGAGAAATCCGGGATTGTATTGCTGATACCTGTTAGTGTTTGTTCGTTTATGTTAGTTATGAAAATGAGATGTTTATTAGTTGAAGAAGCTGAAGTTACTAATGTATTCTTTGAACGTACTTGGTTAACTAGAGTTCAAATGTAACTGGACTTGAATGGATACTATCCTTTGAGCAAAGAATTTTAATGATGGTTGTTCTTTTTTGTTCCACTGGCATATTACTAACTGGTATGGTAAGACACTTGGAAATTTACTATACACTTGATTTGCAGCTCAAACTGAAAGTTATGAATGAGTTTTATTCATGAAGGGCATGCTTGTTTGGAATGATAAGTAGGTTTACCCCTTAATCTTGGGGTCCTATGTTTGTTAACCTTGATTGCATCCCGCAAGATAAATTCGGCACGAGATAAAAATACAATTAATAAGGAAATATTTTATAACCCTTTTCATCTCCAAAATACAGTAATGAGGAAATATCAAAATTGTCCTCTTCTTCCAATTTGAGACATCATTCTTCTTCCACTTTTCATCTTTCCTTTTTCCTTTTTCTTTCTAAATGTTGGAGAACACAATCTCCTATTGTCGCAATAGAACTTGCAGTAAATCTTTTTCATAATCCGTGAAATCTCGGATAAAATTCATTTGACAAAAAGGCAAGCGTCATCTATATTAAAAGACAATCGAGAATTGCGAGGATCAAACATAGAGCTAAGAACAAGTAATTTCACTGCATGTTCATTAAATTTGTTGTTTAGCTCTTACATTTGACAATATATCATAACCGTAAAAATATTAATACGGTAATGATCATCGACTGTAAATAGATTTTTCCTATTCCAATATCGTCCTTCTCTTTCAACATATAAATCATTAACATCATGAATATCTATCACATGACTTTCACAAAAATACTTTACAGAAAGAGACCGTCACATCCATCATCTCCTAATTTTTGGATTAGACTTTTTGTACCAACAAGATGTATAACATTTAGAATATCTTGAGATTTCCATTGAGAGCTTGACAAAGCGTATTTGTTATTTTCATTATTTCTTTCATAAGATGCAAGATGAAGACGGTCTCGAAAGAGGTCAAAAAAATGTAAGCCGAATATGCATCGGCTCGTTGATCGCAATTCCCCTCATCAATGATGCACAACAAAACTGAGCAAGTTGCACTAAACGTCTTCAAGAAGCTAGAAATCGACCTCAAATGCGAACCCTACCTCATATCTCCTGCTCGTTATAAATTCCCAATTTGAGTTTGTCCAAAACCTTTTTCATGTTCATCAATAGAAATCAAGTATGCAATATCAGAATCTTGGGCCTTTTTTAATTGATCGACACATTTACGAGAACCCACCACATTTATGATGAAATTAAACTTTATAAAAAAATGGTGGACGGGAATAACTTCTCTAGATATTCCAACCAACGTCGATTGCAACCAATGAGCTAAACAATGCACATAATATGCATACTGGCATTCTTTGGCAATTAGTGCTTGTAACTAATTGAATTCAACACGCATAATACTCGCCCTATCATATCTCAGACCCTGAATATTTTGAATTTCAAGATTTTGACCAGAAAGGGTAGAAAATATTGCATCTTTTAGAGTTATTGTCTTCGTGTCAGACATATGTAGCAGATCAAGGAAGCGCTCTCGAACAAACCACAAATATCAAGAAATTTTATGACGATACCCATTTGCTCCCTTTTTGAGATCTTTGGTCTCATCAACAATAATGCAAAACTTTGCGTCCCTAATTTCATCATGAAAACTTTCTTAATCAACACTGAGATAACAAGTAAAATGTTCTTTTGCACAAACGAGGATGTATAAGAAGCATTTTGAGGTGTTTTGTCTAATATGACATTTGCAGTATTTTCATCAAGCATAGACGTAGCAATAAAAAATTCAAAAAAAAAAAAAAAATTCCACAGTTACGAGACTCTTTAATTTTATCATGGCCTCTAAAATCCAAACCCTGACTTGCAAGATGTGGGCAGAAACAATTGAAGCTTCAAGCCGTACTCTATATTTTGCAACTTGTTCAAAACATTATTTTTCAATAAGTGGCCGAACATGTTGTGCTTGATTCATTAGATCCTCACACGATTTTTCAGCAATTTGGTGCAATGAATTATGATATTTTCTATTGTTATTTAGAAATGCATAGTTTTTTCAATTCCGTAATTTTTTTTCCAGTTTCTGGACCCATCAACAAAAAAAATATTCTGAATGTGATGCTTACCTAGTTTTTTGAACAAATAGCAAGGTAAAAAAAATGCAGCATCATTCGTAGGGGAATATTCTAACCAAGACGAACATATCTTGAACCACGACGCTCGAAAACGACGAGAATACTTTCTAGACCCGCTCGAAGGATATTATCCTCAGGAAAATAGCTAATGTGAGCTCGTCGAACTTTATCAGTTTTATCAACGGGATAACTTGATATTGGCCTACGTAACCCTGGATCACGTTCAAGTTTGTTGATATCAAACACCACCGTTCAATTCTATGTGATTTATTTAATGTGATTAATACCTTTCTCAACAGTTGGTGGTCCTCCCTTATCTTCCTCAATCTGAACAGTTTTTTCTTGAAAAACTAGTCTATTCTTGATGACTTATTCATACCCTAAAAATAAAAAGAAATAACACAATTAATATTTTAAAAATGGTATAAGCCTATATATGATTCATGAATTAAAAACACAATCAATGTCATTTTATTTTTTTTATATTTTATGACATTATTATATTAATTTTTTTTAAAAAAAGAGCTCATTTGTTCTATATTTTATTTTGTTATTACAATAATATATTTAATAAATTAATACTAAACTTAATCGGCTACAAATATTAACCACCACGTGAATCCTACATATATTTTTACTAATAGAAAAAAAAAAAGATGTCATTAAATCCTAAACTAAGCTATGTAACCAATGCCAACGATTTTATGTCGCTAAGGATACTTATCCTACCCTATCTTTTCAAATTATTTAATTTAATAGCCAAAAAGGAAAAAAAAAGAACAAGAAAAGAAAAGATCCAAAACAATATCTTGAGAATATATATATATATTTTCGAAACAGGAGAATATATACCAAATATAACTGAGTTTTCAGTACTTAGGCCATACATAACAGAAGGAGCCAACTCTCCTAACTACAGCCAACAGTCCGACAAAGATAAGCCTTTAAAACCGAGATGTAGAACTAATCCAAGCAGAATTATCACAACCCTGCAAGCAAATAAGTTTGCCACAGAACCCTAACAGGACCTATCAAACTAACAAAACCTACGATAAGAACAGAATTAGCCAAACTAAGAGAAACAACAAGCTGAAAACAACAAACAAGCTATACAAATGGCTAATGCCCAAACTAACTACTAATGAGGGAGAACTCAGATCATTCCTTCTGAGCCAGTGTAACCACATGCATCTCTGTCCTCCAAGTATTCTCAAACAGCCATAAATTGTGTGTTTTTCACATCCACTATAACAAATAGCAGGAGAGTTGCATTCTTTGCACGGGTATTGGACTGTGGTTAATGGTGCAGAGCTTAGACCACCAATACTTGAAGGATTTAGATTCAGAATGCAGGCCTTTCCATGAGACTGGTGCTATCTTCCATATCCATATCAGTTGCACGTTGTATCCAAAAAATATCTTGAGAAGATATTTGACTCTTAAGTTTTTAACATTTCACCATAATCCCAAATGAATGTTATCCAAAACCATGGGTTGACTAAATTTAAGGCCCATATTATACTCAAAGGGCACAAATATCTTTTCAGTTTTAGTTACATCACTTCATTAATAAAACACGAAAGCACAAAAAGGGGAATTATTAAATCAATTCAATTTAGACAAACAAAGTCGTAAACTCCTAGTAAACACTTTGGCCAAACAATGGAACGACGTCGTTTACAACATCTATCGCCTCATTAACACGTAACAAACAGCACTACACTTTCCCTCTTCTAACTCTCTCCGTCTCTCACGCCATACCTTTTTTCCTGTATTCAGCAACACCTTGTCGGCAATCCGCATTCAACATCATAGATAGTTAACCAATCACCCTCTTTTATTATTCATCTGCCATTTTCATCTTCTGTCGGCTCAGGTCATTGTTGTCTTCATTCTGATTTCCTCTTCGAAATACTACAAGGAAAAAAAAAAGATTCTGACTTTGAAATAAAGGTGACTTAAAACCTTGATTTGGAGCTGGTGTTGGTTGATTTTTTGACCTGATAGTAGCTTTGAAGGAAGATAAGGAGTTTCTGTTGTTCAGGTTTGATTATTATTTCCATTGTTGATTTGATGTACATGTAAAGGTACCATTTTTTTTTTATGTTTTGATATGTGGTCTCACAAGATGTTGAGCAGTGTGTGTTTGTTAAGGGCGTGTTTGGCTTGAGGTTCGTAGTTATAAGATTCTGACTCTTGGTTTTGTTCTTGGAGATTTTGTGATCTGATGACTGATTTTGTCATTGTTGCTCTGGTTACAGAACAGAGTGATATGTTACAAAATTCATATTTTTTATATGGGACTTGGGAATTGATATTTTGGCTGTATATTTGATTGGCATCATCTGAAGTCAAAGGATATTCAGAGAATCGTATGCTGGGCGAGTAGTGATCAAGACTCAAGCATCAAAATTACTATTTTAGCATGGAGTGATATATTTTTGGACTGTGTTTTTTTACCTATGAAAATTTAATAGTTAAAAAAAATTGAAACTAAAAAGAAGAGGTAATTTTGGACTTAAGGCTACTAATATCTGAAATAAAAATTCCGGTGTGAAATAAACAGTTAACATTGTTTGTATAACTTTGTAAGTTTTTTTTGCTTCATCTGTAACATGTGTTATGTAAGATATGCTTATACAGCTTTTATTAGTTAGTAACGATATTTTGATGCATCCAGAAGATTCAAGATGTCTTCATTACAAGGTCCCGTGGTTTGCCATGTGGTCCACTCGAAACAAAACCGAGTGCACTCGGTCCCGTTTGACTCACCTCTGCTGAAAGCTAAATTCGTTAGAAGCGAATCGTTGGGGCTTCAGCGACTCATCATCGGCCCCAATAATCATGTGGGAGTTCGACACAACTTGAGGAAATGCAGGACTATTACGAATAGTTTCAGCAATGGTAGCATGGCTGGAAATTCGAATGAGCATGATTCAGATTATGTCGACTCGAGTGTGATTGAAGCTGGTAATTATTGTTCTCTTTTTTCCTTTGCTTTTTTCTAGTTTCTCTGTAAATGATTGATCATGCTACGTATAAGTTGGTGAAGTAAACCTGTGATTTTTTTATGAAGTTAATCGATCATGCTAATGTTAGTTTTTTTATTTCATTTTTCTTTTTTTCTTAAAAAAAATCTTTCAACAGTTGAGGTGAGAAGTGGGCCGGAAGGTTATACGATGAAGATGAGAGATGGTAAGTATTTGAGATGTGCCCATAATAATCCTCAAGAAGGTCATCTATTGGATTATACCCCTCATCCTGCAATAGTTTTGAAGATGGAAGATGGAACTGGGCTTCTTTTGCCGATAATTGTTTGTAAGTGCAAAATAATCGTCAGTTACTTTCTCGTAGTTGACAAGTTGGTTTTTAGTCATCTTATACTCTCATTGTTTAATTTAAGTATGACTTATGATTATAGTGGAGATGCCGAGTGTGCTTCTTATGGCAGCTGTCCGCAATGTCCAAATTGTATGCGTACCTTTCTCTTTTTTCTTATTCAATTTCGTTTTTTTTTTTTTTTTACTTTTTTAATATTTCAACAAAACAATGATTTCTATCTTTTCTTATGTTAAATATAATTCAGCACTTATGGTGAATTCAGGCTAGACCAACCATGTATCAAGTGGTGAAGGATATGGTTGAGAAGATGGGATATGCTGTGAGTTTTCTTAATATACATTTTAGATATGATCAAGTCATTTAAGCTTATTTATACCTTGGAATTTTTTTGTGTTAAGGTTAAACTCGTACGTGTCACCAAAAGGTTACACGAGGCGTATTTTGCTGAGTTGCACCTTGCAAAGGTAAGTCCACCTTATTTTATATTTTACAGTGGGCAAAAATGCATTTCATATGCGTGCAATCATTTATTCATTTTTTTTATTAGTGATTTTGGTTAATCATGGGAAAATCTTTTTGTGCCTATTGAAGTTGGAAAATGAAGCAGAGAGCATCTGCCTTGATCTTCGACCCTCAGATGCTATTAATATTGCAGTGAGATGCAAGGTAATATAATCCACGAGTTGTTCAGCTCTGTTCTTTTACTGTTTACATACATTTGGAGGGCAAATTATATAGCAAAATTGGAAAATTTATGCTTAGAGTTTGCAGAGAGTCAGGGGTATTCAATTGTAAACAGCACCCTAATCTCGGTTTAACTGATCAGTATATTGAATCGTAAATGTGGTGTGAATGTGGTCAAATGGAAGTTGAATTTGAACTACTAACCGAATTTTATTTTATTGCCAATAGTTGATTAGTGTATTATTGTAAAAATGTGAGATTAAAACATTTCTTTGAAAAAGTGATCTATTTGCTTTCTAATATGTTTATATCTTGTTTGATTCATGGAAGATTAGAATTGTCTGTTACATTTTCAATTTGTGATTGTTACTTAATAATGAGGCCACGATATGGTGGGTATTTGGTTCGGAATTTGGTGTTACATCAGTATTTTAGGTATATCATATTACATAATAAATAAATGAAATTAACTAACCCTTTAGGTACCAATACAAGTGAACAAGTTCCTTGCATTCAGTGATGGTGTAAAGGTTATTGAATCTCCACATGTGACGACAGAGAATCTCGTCTGATGGCCTTTTGTTCACCGAACTGGACAGGTACTTAAAGCCCATCTTTACAAAAGAAGAAGAAGAAGAAGAAGAAGAAGAATTAATATGCTTTTGGAAAGTTAATTTTCTGTTTTCTGGTCAAAGAACGAGTGATTTTTTCAAAGAAAGAATTAATTATTATTTAATTTTTGGGCAGGCCGACAGGTCAGCCTTGCATTCAGACAAAGGAATTCAATTTAGTACGTAACATGCTAATTGCTGCTGTTGAAGAACGATATCTAGATGCTGGTACGTGTCCTCTGAGTTGTGGCAAATTCTGTTTTAAGTATTGAACAATATGTTAAAACTAATTCTCAAAACTAAAACCTATTTAATTTGTAGTTTTCCTGTGGATAGAAATTGTCAAATAATTAACCAGAAAACGGTAAACTACTCATTGTGTACTGGACATCGATTTCCATCATGTGAATACTGAATTAAATATTTCGAACAAATGAATTTTTACAGCTCTTTTTACAGTTGAGCAATTAGTATTTCGAACATCTGTATTTACTGTTTCGTTCTTGCAGCTTTGTGGAGGGACAAACTCACTCAACTTCGATCCAAGAGGAATTGGGCATAACATGCAAAACTCTCGTTCGTCTCTTGATCGTATGGCAGATTGAGTTCTCTTTGCTGAAGTGCGGTTCGTGTACATATGGAAAAAATTGTGGGTCCATGCTTTATGAGCAATTTATACAATTGTATTAGTTCTTCAGTAAGTATGTCGAAAGCCCCATGTCTGTGTCGTGTACAAATATTTGTATAGATAGATAAATTACATCGTGTAATGTCGAGTCGAATAATATGCACAAGTGAACTTTTGTATCCGGTTTTCTGTCAATAACATTCTTGGTGACATTTGCTTCAAAGTTTCCTCATGCCTTAGTCTCTACTCTCTTGTAATACAATTCATCTACGTACTCTCCTGCTGCTTGTTATTTATTGAATGTAGATTAAATTAAAATTCTAAATCTAATAAAAAAAAGAAGGCCCAATTGCCGGCGCGGCGGCCTTATACTTTTTGGCAATTTTAATCAAATTTTTTAATATTAGCAAAAACAATTCCAATTCCAGAAACTGCAACTCGAACTCAAACCCCACTCCAAAAACACATTGAAAATATCGGACATCTTCCCCAAAATCTTCAAATTCAATATATCATTCGCTCTAACCCTAATTTTGCAGCAAAATCGAATTTCAATGAGTGAATTATATTCAATAAAGCAAATGTATAGTAATGGCTGAAACTCATTCTAAAAATTATATTGATCAATTTAGATGAGGGATTATATAGTCGGCATATTTTTTAACAACTTTCTCTGAAGAGGCAAACAATAAAATATTTTGATTACGAGTGGCAAATCGTGTTACACATAAATCAAATTAAACACATCAAGAACAAGTATCGAGAAGAGGCAACAATACTCATCAGCCAAGAGATAAAAATAATTTTAGATGTTTAAGTGATAAAAAATTGTGAGGATCCTCACAGAATGCTGCCATCATCACAGTAAATCATCACCTATCAAGTACCTGACGTCTGACGACACATTTCTAGCATGCTTCGAGAGACTCTGTGGCATCATCAATAAGAATTGAGAACTAAAACAGCAACATCAAATGAGCTGCAAAAAGGAATGCACCATTCAGAGTTAGGGCATAACGACACATTAGACAAAACTGGTCAGCAATTATAATTTGTAATATATTGTAAAAGAATAGGTCTGGCACATTAGTTGCAGGATATTTTGCTTATCATAGAAAAACATATGTCGATATACAGGATACGGCATGGCCTTGCTAGCATTAATTCAGTATACACATCAATTTAAGTAAAAACTTATAGATGATACCTTCTATAGCTTTCAGGCCATTCCATTCAGCAGATTTTCGCATTGTGATAGGACTTCCAGCCTTCATATATTTGTCGAAGGTTCACATTTGCACCAGCATCTCCACTTATAGTACTCCTGTATAATGGATCCAAAAATAAAAATACACNCTAGATACAGTAATACTTGAAGTATTCGCCATATCATCACCAACACTCCATAGGACCTCAAAAAGTGTCTGGAAAGAGAACATCACATCAACCCCATCCAACCACACCACCCAAATAAAAAGAAGAAAAAAAAAATGAAGAAAATGGAAGAAAGGGAAGAGAACTGCTGGAGGCCTGAAGCAAAATACCGAGGAGTATGGGAATAAAGAACAAATGACAATGAAACAAATTTTGCTTTGGGGGCATTCAGAAGTACAGAAAGCTCAAGAAACGACTACCTAGTGTCAAAAATATAACACATTTCAGTTGAAGAGTTGGAAAATTTCTCAATCACAAGATGAACTAAAAATGTAAGTCAGAATTTCACGCTGCATCAATCAAGAAATCAAATTTTGCTCCAAAATCAACTTGCTACGGCTGGGACTAAATATTATTAGTCGAATTACAAAATATAACAAACATTGTCAGACTTTTCACTATCCGAAAATGTAGCAAAGCATTTAAGATACAGATAAAATACATAAACCACAGACAGAAAATGGCCACTGAATAGGCTGCCTTGTGGCTTAGAGTTCACAGGCTACGGATAATACATCTTCCAGCAAGCTACTTCCACGGTAAATCAGACCAAAATTGTGCTCTATAGATTTATATATTTCCCGTGAGATGGAAAAGGGAGAGTTGTTGATTCATCAATTTCTCGCAAGAGAAAGAAGCTGGCACATCTCTTTCTTTTGAACTCCTCACTTGATCTGCACTCTCTGCATAGCCATAATAAATCACACTTTACCTCCGAAAGGACAAACGAAAATGATAAATATATAAAGGAAAAGCGAGAGTCGTTGCAACTTATTGTGGATGTTCCCAGATTAGATTTTGTTAGCTCACTATTGTGATTTGGCAACACACATTAGCATGCTTATCAGAACTCAAATGTTTCAGTTCGGCTTTGAGATATGTCATTTATCGGATGGGGTGGAAAGTATAACATGTCCATGCAAACTAATGACCAACATCGCAGAAGAAAGAAATATAAAACAGAATACAAGCATAGCTTTCAACGTTACACGGTGAAGATATAATGTTCATATTCTATGAAATCAGTACAAAAAAAATCTCTAATACAAATGGAGCACAAAGGACCACTGTCACTTAGATCACACAATTCACCACAGATGTTCAGACATAAAGCAACAGTCTCAAAAAAGCTGTGACTGTCATTCCTCGATAATCTACACGAGACATGCATAGTGATTCATCTATCAATTCAATTAATAAGCGGAAGATATCTCTAGTGCAAGGCTCAAAGGTTCTATCATAATTTATAAAGCTGCTTAGAGCTTTGATATAGAGAAGGGCACAGAAAACTGAAGTCCGAAAATGTTTTGTTCCAACAAGTCAAAAGGAATTTGTTAGAGGCAGTATCAACAGATTCCAGGCCATATGTTAATAGAAGTTTTCCCAGTCCTTCAAAGTTAGCATAGCCCAAATGAAGGAACAGATGAAGGTCAATTCTATATATCCATTCCTTTGATGGCCTGAATATTTTTCCTTTCCAAATGAGCTTTCGTATAATGATGAGTCAATCAGATAGGTTGTTATTCAATACTAGCAGCAAACTAGTCAAATTGTCGGTAGGTTTTGAATCTAAAGCTTGAAGCAGTCACCGAAAAAGAGGAAAGGAAAATATTATGCTAAGTTGCCTTGAATGTGTTCTGAAATTATAAGAAAAATCTACGGAACACTCTTCTTATTACCGGCATTTTCTTAACACTTCGGCAGATGCAAATTTGAAGACACTCTTCAGTGCTCATAATCCATCGCTTCCTTATCTTTTACCATCTGGACATATGCTCTGACTATCTGCTGGTCCAACTCATAATAATGCTTCATTTTCTTCAGTGGTTTCATGTCCAGGTCGATGAATGATGCCTAATGTATAATGTAAAGAGTGTTATTATCATAACAGCAATTAAACATCACACAAGTAATCCAAAATATACTCTTGATATTATTGAAATCCCCAGAATTTAAACCGGAAACAATTTGTTCTAGTTATTTTTTTTGCCAATTTATCTAGTTCTGTAACTTTAGGAATGCTTTAGAATTAGCCTGGTTCATTTACAAATTTTCATTGTCCTAAAAGTAACACAATTTTAGACGTACAATGGTCAAAACTCTTTATTTAGCCTGTAAATATTAAAACTGCACAATTTCTATGCCAAAAATGGGAGTTTCTTGTGTTTGAGCCTTCGTTCTTTCCAGTAAAAAATCGCCAAAACCTCCTACCTGCAAACTTGGAATATTATCTGAAATTTAATTGTATTTGAACCAAACTGGACCAGAAAGAGCAACTTCTATTCACACAATAGGTGCCAAATAATCCAAATTTACGAGTCTGAACTAAATAAATTGTAACGGTTATTAATTACATAAAAGCAAAGAACAATAAATACGTAGCTCCCAAATGCCCGAATACAATTATTAGGCAACATTTCAGATAGAAGCTGGGCAATTTCAACTCTTACGAGACTACATTAAAATTTAAAATGACCGTCACTAGTTTTGACACACCCCCAAAGTTATGGATAAGTTTCCAAGAATGCTTGACACGAGTTTTCCAAGTAACTATACCAAAACAATAGAGATGTCTGATGGTAAAATTTTGTATTCCAAAATCAGAGTAAAACTACACCTTAAGTACAGCCNAATAAGAAGAAGAAGTGTCGAAACAGTCTCCACATATATTGTATTGCATTGAAAACTAAATCCATGATAAGCAGTTTGTTCACCTTGTAATCAAAAGCTTGATTGGTTGACTCCAGAAAGACAACATGAGGAGATGCCAGATCATTATTTCTTCTGGGTCTAAAACTAATCATCACACTTAGGTCCTTTCCAGTGGCAGATATCAAGTAATCCCTCACAACTTTAAATTTTTCATCCCTTGTCATTGCATGTATAGATGAATATCTTCCCGATAGTTTCCTTCTACCTTTTTCATGACATATCATACAAGGCTTGGAAACTACATCATAGTAAGCATGAATGGCACCTTCAATATCAAAAGCATCAAGCTTTTGGACTTGAAGAAGCTGATTCAACAAGCCAGACTTCATTATAGTTTCAGCAACGAGTTCCATGAAATATTTAGTGTGCATACCATCTTGTGCCACAATAACACGTTTAATCCCATCCTGGAATGCTCGATCAACCATGTAACTTGGACTGTCAGCAGAACCATCCATGCCGCCGAATATAAGTGAACCGTTTAGGAATACCCGAAAATTATTCTGAGGGGTGAGAAACAGGGATTTAATTGCATTTTGTACACTGCCCTTGGACCCAGAAAACAAATCCAGTGGATTATATTTACTTATTTGGGATATCTGCATTTGAAGAATCTGCATTAGGTACATGCCAATCTGAACTCTATGCAAATACATATTTGGATTAAAAAATGATACTCATAAGAAATCTTTAGTCATCAAAAACATTGAGGTACTAACGAGGCATCAAAAACATTATATGTATTATCACAAAATGAAAACCTTAGGTCAGATCTAAGATAATTACCTTCCCTTGACGTAGTTTTAAAGCTTGGTGCATTTTAAAGCGAGTTATTCTTTTCTTGACCTCATTTTCTTCAGCTATGAATTCGGAAATAGGAAGAAATCCACATTTGGGCTGTTTTACAGAATAGAAGCATGAAATATATTATACACAATAAAAAAATAGCACAGAATTATACATCTCTAACAGTGTAAAACTGAATGTATATAGGAAGAGTAGCACCTTTATCTCAACAGACACGGAGAAGTCTTCTTTCAGAGTACCTGAAACTGAAAACAAACAAAGATGAGCAGACAGTAATTTCACATATGAAAAGCCATCAAGAAAATTCCAATTTCCAACTAATGGTAACAATTTTAGAACCCGGATTCATCAACTATAAATTAATCGAAAAAGTTACAATTAGACTTATTTTATGTCATTGTATATAAAGACAAATGAGTTGTCCAATTGAAGCTTCTGATTTCAAAAACATTCTAGCAGGTCAAGCAGTATAAAGTAGTGATACTAAAGAATAGAACTGAAAGAAAAGCCTGAACTTCTCAAAGCAGCTTACGCAAGATAAATTTGAAAATATTGAGATATCCATCATATGCAAAGAGTGTACAAGCAAGAGTAGCATCTCTCAAGACTACATACTGTATCACATACCACGAGGAAATATGGAATGGTCAGCAATGAGAAGAACTGAATCACACAAGGAGTTAACTTTTGCAGCATCAACCCTCCAAGAAGGACGCTGGAGAAGAACTTTGTTTTCAACCGCCTCCAAAAATTCTTTCGACACAATAAGTCGGATCTGCAAATGCCATGTAACAATATCCAACATTACATATGCTGGCTAATATTTCACTTTGACAACTAGAAACATAAACGAGAATACAGAGGAAGGGGAGGGCAAAACCCATCATAATAATTTTGATCCATCTAAACACTTAATTCTTCGAGGGACCATTTTATTTGGTGTAATTAACAGATATTTTTGTTGTATTTATGGATCAGAGTACGAGTTCTCGTGATAATTAATATGCAACTAAGCTAAACCATAGTTAGAGAGGAAACTGAAGAGGTAGGGTAACAGACCCGGACAACTAGCAGTAACTAAACAATACAAAAAGGTACAGGAATTATTTGATCTTTTGTCATGGAGAATACCCAGAAATCATTAGATCATACTATTACACAAGGAAACATAAAAGTTTTTCTGCAGTTACTAACTTAAAATATAACTTACCCCAGCATCAACATGTTCAGGACCCAGCAATGGGCACATTACTTTTTGCACATAAAGTTGCTCTGCAATTTCCCTATTACGAGCTGAAACAATGCCTTCGAATTCTCCCCACAGGATGTGCTCAAGCTTCGTTAGAGGTGAATGACCATTCTCACATTCAGATCCTTTATTTGGAACTTTTGGTACCCTTAACACCTTCCCTACCTAGTTGAAATAGAGAGAAAAAAACCATCAGTAAGTGATTCTAGCACACAGAATTAACCATTTGTACCATCTTCTCAGGGTGCTTCATTGTCATACTCATATATCCTTCTAAAATGAAGGTTTTCTCTCTGGACAGACACTAAATTAGTTGCCTCCCGAAATGGAACACTCTCACACATACATACATACATACATACATACATACATACATATACATTTATATATATATACATATATATTATGTGTTAACTCTTAAAAACACCTTTTGCTTCCCTCTCACACTTCGTTTCATCAACCAATTATCGATACTAACTCAAAGGTAACTAGAAAAATGTTTTCCTCTAATAAAACTTATTTTGACTCAAAATAAAATGGAGAAACATCATGGTCTACGACAAGGACCCCCAATTACACACTAGCCAACTCAACAGAAAATAGTGGAAAATTTACGCAGCAGCTTCATCGGTTTTCTATCTCACTTGCAGAAATATTTCTGTTAGAAGTTAATTTTTGTCCACATCGGTTAGTTACTGGGCTGTTAATGTGTATAAGTGGTTGGGCACCCTCTCCCTTTGAGCTAGGTTTTTTCTATCCAGGACCATTTATCAATTGCAAACCAAATAGATCTTATTTTCAGCAGAGAGGTGAAATACGAATTATTATGCGTAGGTCTAATTAAACAACCACACTAATCAAACTCTCAAACTCAACAGTCACACAACGTCACTACAATAAGCCTATTATTCCAACAAACAAGTTTTCAAGTTTGCATTAAAAGCTAAGAGGAAAAGAAAAACATTTTACTGAGATTGGTCACATATAACTTTTCAGACAGCCAAGTTGAAACTTTATCTCAGACAAACAATCTTGACATAATTTCAGAATCTAGCAAAAAATCATAGACATAATAAATCAAATGAAAAAAAAGACATACAAAATCAGGCGAGCTTCCAATGTAAGCAAGAACCAAGTTTACAGCCCCTTCTCCTCTATAAGCCCAATCCACTGCATCCTGTGCTTGTAAAACGACCGCCATCTACTGTATATATGCAAAACGTACATTAGTGTTATGTGCTAACACAGATACAAAAATCATGATGAATTGCTTGAAAAAGGAAAGCATTAATGCTCCTTTACCAGGATAGTATTATGTATGAACATGGAAGGAAATAACTAAATTCCTTATTATCCATCATCTGAAAAAGCTGTTCTATTATACCTTCAACATGTTTGGTACATGAACTAACAATTACAATTTACAAGTTGACTATATGTTCACTAGTCATCACTGAAATCAATACTAAGTTGCCTTCCATTACTAGCATAGTAATCACAGTCGCAAAAAAGCACTTTCCATGGTGAGAAGAGCCCATGGACTGCACTCACTTACCATTGTTAAAACAAAATTGCAGCATTCATCTGGCATCTTTCTAAAAGAAGGCAGGCCTTTTCAAGAAAGCAGGCCAGAGGGACATTAGGTATATTAAATGGCCACAAGACATAGTTTTCTCATTCAGGATCACACACCATTTCTTCTTGTTGCTTATTTTTCTTTCTTTTTCTCTTCTTTTTCTTTTCCTTGTCTCTTCTTTTTCTTTTCCTTATCTCTTCTGTGTCATCTCTTAGCTTAATTATTGCAGATGACTATCCTGGTATATGATTCCATTTGTTTTCTAATGCATAGTAAACTATATACATGGTCCTTTTTCACACTGCTGGTAAGTAAGGGTTACAGATCTTATTGCTAAAATATGTTGACAAACATTTATCAATTTTTGGAAACCTAAACCTAAAATTTGGCTAGTTCTCGAATAACGGCTGCAATTGCTTATATTCTTCCTGGAGATAATGAATAATACTCTGTTTTCTTTAGCTTGATACACTAGAATATAGCTGTCATTCAAATTTAAATGCTATGTCTTCTGAATAATTGCTGAAATCAAGTGTAGCACTAATATATTGCTTTTTCCGCGAGATACTAACTGTGCATATGTATGATTTTCTTCCCTAACTAATGCACGTCATTACAATAAGAAACAAACCACTCGAGCAGTCTCCAGGGCACCAGTGATTGGGCATTTGTGAATGTTGGATCATTAGGCAGATGTATCAAGTTATTAAATTTGACTCTCCACTCAAACTTCACACATTGTAAACAGGAGAAAAACAAAAGGAAACAGAAGGAGAAAAGATGGTATTTGATACACTACCATAGGAGAAAAGAAGGTATTTGATACACTACCATATGGCGTATTGACAATGCCAGCAAATTGATGATCCATTGGCAAACCACATAGCCAAACAATATCCATGATTCACAAGTTCACACATGCAGCTTAATATACACACAAGCTCATATGTTCAGCAGTGATCTATGAAACTTTATACTAAAAGACCAAAGCCCATCCAATACACCGCTAACAAGACCAGCATATCAACTTTACAGTCACTTATCAACTACATGCAGTTTGATAAATTGTAGTAAGCAGCATAAACAAGAACCAACATACAGCAGCAAATTGAATTGTAACAAAAATGGTAAAACAATGCAATCAGATTACTCTCGCATTAAAAAGGAATAAAATAAGAAAAAATGAAGTAAAAGAATATAAACAGACAATCATGTAGCGAAGGAGTAATTAACCATACATATTAATAAAAAAACTGGAGAGAGAGAGAGAGAGGAGAGAATTTCGTTTCAAGAACCAATATTTATACAGCTAATTTCTAGGAAGCTCCGCCCACTCAAGGCTAGGGACAAAAAATCGTCAGCCACCTCAGACTGTAACCATTGCATGAATATTGTATATAAAAACATTTCAATTTCTTACACACATTCACCAAACAAAAATCAGACCACCGGAACGATTTATATGAAAAATGCTAAAATCAAATTGTAAGAACATAACCCTGAAATATAAAAAGGCATTAAGAATGGGGGAAAAAAGTTTACTCAACGGAGACTAGTGCAAGCGCCGCCTTCGCGGTCGAGGCCGGCGGCTGCCGGCGACCTTCACCGACTAATTCGTACGTGGATTCTAGATTTGATAACAGAAACCAGCGATGAATGGTAAGAGGAAGAATAGCTCGAAATTCAATGGGCTAAAAGGTTGCTCACTTTCTGGCAAGAAGGATTCTCCGAATAAAACACTGGAGCTTCATAGGGTTTAGGGAGAGAATTTGGCTAATAGAATCTTAGTACAGTTTATATGTTCTTATTTTTGGGGTTCTTGTATCCTATTTGTGTTTTTGAGTATATTCATCTTTTCAATCTTTTTCTGTTATTTTCCCTTTTTAAAGATAAAGATATATATTGTCCTCTTCGAATTTATTCTAATCAATAGAGTATAATATCCTTGTATTGGACGAGTAATAATTTAAAAAAAAAAACATACTGATTTTCTTAAAAAAAATATACTAATGAAAGTATTTTTTTTTTAATTTTTAACAACTATTAAAATAAATTGCGACATACAATTAATATTGATAAATAATTTAATTTCCAATATAAAGGTACACACATATATTTATAAAATATGGATATAAAATAAAAATTCATCACGGTATAACTAATTTGATGAATCGTATAGTATGGAAGAAAATTATCATTTTGACTTTGAAAAATTCTCTCTTCTCTCTCCTCGGCGAAACCCTCCCCCAAATATCTCCGCGGTGTTTTCCTCTAATTTCCCACGAATTCGCCTTCCTCGGTGTCGAATAGTCTCGGCTAGGGGTCGTCGATGACGGTCCCGGCCTCCCTTGACGTCGCGCGCTTCTGATTCTCGGTGGATGGGCCGCGATTGGGGCTCTAGCTCTTGGTTGCGGACATGGATTCAAGCGACGGCGCTGTTCCCGGTTGGTGCTTGGTGGTGGAGTTCCTCCGTTGCCGGCGATTCTCTGATTGGTGATAGTAAGTCCATTGTCTCTCTCTTGTCTGTGATTGCCGAGATGCCTTTTTCCGGCGGAGCTCCGTCTTTTCAGGCGGGTTGGAACCTCTGGTCGGGGTGTCTGTGGAGATGTCGGATGGTGCGCGGGTCTATGGGTGGACGGGACTCCGGTGGCTGCTGCGTATTGGTTGCGGTGGTCGGGTGAGGGTCGTTTCTCTCGTACAATCCCCCGTTTGACTAGTGGTATTAGGCGACGGGGGAGGTTCTATCGGCCTCGTCTAGTAGTGTTAGAAGAGTTCGGGTAGAATCGGTGTGGGGTGGACTTGGCTCTCTCGGTTATTGATGGGTCGATTCGGGGACTGGTTCGGGGTTAGGTTTTTTCTACTGTATAGGCTTGATTGCAGTTTTGGTAGCAGACTCTTTGGCCTGAATTTGTCTTGTGTCGATCGTTCACTGCTGGTTCGGGCTAGCTTGTTCGCTGGGGGGGAAGGGTTGTTAGTTTATTTTAGTTTATTTGTGTTCTTGTTTAGTGTTTTTCTTTTTAGTGTTGTTAGTGTTTTGTGTTTTTGGTTTGGGTCGTTGGCTCCTGTGAGCCCGAATGTCAAACTTATTATCCTGTTGGGATCCGAAACTCGGGTATTACTCTGTTGGAGTCTTTTTTAGTTGTTTTAGTTGTTTGAGTAGTTGATTTAGTTTAGTTGCGAGTTTTTTTTTTCTAGCGTTGCTAGGCGGTCTTCTGACCTGTCCTCTCACTTTTCAGCTGTTGGATGTTCTCATTCAGCTACGAGCTGGTTGTATTCGCACATTTGTGCACTTTTAATTTATAATAATATCTATCGTTTCGGGAAAAAAATCGTATAGTATGATAATTAATATTAAGGGCATATACTTTTAAAATATATTTATAATTTAAGTTAATTAAATATTTTATAATTTTAAAAATATCACTAGATATAGCTAGAAGTTCAAAAATACATGAACTACACAGAAATATCATAAATTGATATATAAAATAATAATCCCCTATGTATTAATTCTAAACGTGCTGAGTCTAAATGGCACGCTCGCACGTTTTGGAATCCTATGTGTCAAAATATCATGTTTTGTATTTAGGTTTGGATAAAAGATTGAGAAACAAAATTGGCCTGGAAAATGGCATAAATAATTTTTCCACCATACATTATTGTTTTTCATCGATTTCTCTTTCATTACCAAATTTGTTTTAAATTTAAAGATCACACAAATCTTTATTTCCTTATTTTATTTTTTTTTATTTTAAATATCAGTATAAATTAATAATTGAGTTAACAATAGATTTTTTATTTGACAATGAATCAATGTCGAGTTAACAATGTTTCTTTTATTTGATAATTGATTTAAAAATATTTTATTTGATAATTAATTTTTTATCTTCTTTTATTTGATAATTGAATTAACTAACAAAATATCTACATTAATTTTTTTATATTCTTTTATTTGATAATTGAGTTAATAATGTTTCCAAATTTTTTACGAATATACGGTAACAAATTTCTTCACACTCTAAAATCTTGAATTGAATTCGTAACGGGATTCTAACACCATATTCTAACGGGATTTCTTCCATTTATTTATTTTGTATATACTACAATACTAAACTCTTTTACTTTTTGTGTTTAAATTATTTTTTCGTGCACCCGTGTAGTACACGGGTATCGTACTAGTGAAGTATTAAACATAAACATGGAAATTTTCGCTTGCATCTATATACTGGTAATCATCCTGTGCACATGCACATATGTACATTAAATATTATAAGTAATATGTGTGAATTTATTATTAAAATTCAAGATAATGAACATTACATTTTCAAGATTTGATCATTAGTAAAAATAAAATAATATAAATATAAATTATTTAAGTATATATGAATCACTGTATTGATTGAAAAAAAAAATAGTTAATGTAATTTTATAATTTGGAGGGATCATGGTCAAATAATTTAGTTGTATTATTATTATTATTGTTGTTGTTTATAAGATTATAAAGTGGTTTGACTATGCTATTAAAATTATTTAGCTAAATTTTTCCAAAGAAAATTGTTTCATGAGATAAATATACATATATATATATATATATATATATATATATAGGGGCTGGTTCAAATAAAAACTATGTCTGGTGTGAGAACCGTGAGAACCATATTTGATGCTATTTTTAATTGTGTATGATGCTATTTTTAATATTACATGGTGCTATCATTTTCATAAATGCTAATAAAAATTTTGTTGCTATTTTTAATCAAATACATCCTAGTTAAAAATAGCACTAAAACACAATTAATCATAGCACTACATACAATTAAAAATAGCGGTTCTCACGGTTCTCACACTAGGACTTGGTTCTCATTTGAACCACATCCTATATATATATATATATATATATATTGATTTTAGAATAAATAGTTTAAAAAAATTGCAATATAATTTTTTATACTTATGTAATTTGTATTTAGTGTTAATTATTAATTCATATTAGCATTAGCTATTATATAATATAATAGCAAAACATCTATATATATAATTGCTAGCAAAGAATTTAATAAACCTCATAAATTATACCTATTGGCACTTATTAAATTATAGCTACATGGCACTTATGTGGCATTTTCCCTCTAATAACCACTACAATCCATTATTATTATTATTATTATTATTGTTATTATTATTATTATTATTATTATTATTATTATTATTTCTTTTTTACATTAATTCACCATATCCATTAAGGATAAAATATTTTCTACCACTTTTTTGGGTTAATTAAGAAACAAACTATTATATTTTATTTTAATTGACTAATAATTATATTTTTATTATATCATATAATAGTTATTATTAAATAATAATTATATTTTGAACTAAATGATATGTGAAAGTCAAATAAACATAAAAAATTATATTGTAAAACTTTTTGTTCAAGTTATTTACTTTAAATCAATATTATATTTTTTATCTGATTAAACGGTTTTTTAAACAAAAATTATTTTAATGTCATAGTAAAATTACTTAAAATTGCATAAGCAATTGTTATAATAAATTTATATTTTTTCGGCTAATTAATTGGTCATTGTAACAACAAATTTCATGTATTGAATTTATAATTACGAAAAATATTTCACAAATGAATTTCTCGAATCAAAATAATATAGCGGATTACAATCTCTATTTCTCTTCCGATTCTTCTCACGAACACTTGAGCGAAATCTTCGCTTTGATCTTCTTCTTGATTTGATTTGACTTTAATTAACGTTAATCCGAGGGCCAACGCCTTAATATCCCAAGAACGCGAATAACACGAATCATTGGTCTTCGCCGCAAAGTAGATCTTGAATCTTCTTCACGCCGGTTTTGAGTTTACTAACGTTATTCGGAGGCTTCGCAGCTTGTTTCCGGATTGAATGCTAGTTTTGAGGTTGAATGCGCGTGAATCTTGCTTCGAATCTTCAAGAACGCCTTTGAATCTTCAAGAACACTTGAATCTCGTCGAGAGAATTCTCTAGAGCTCTTGAACTTGAATACAAATTATGAGGTGTGTTTTTGGTTTTAGGGAGAGCCCCTATTTATAGGTGTAGGAGAGAGAACTCTACCAAATTTAATAATCGTAGGACGCGATTTGATTGGTTCATGATGATTTACATAAGATCTTTTGGATCTACTTAAATCTCACAAGATCTTCTAGAAGACATGTGATTTATTTACCAAGAAATAAGATTTGACACTTGGCATTATTTGATTGGTCAAGAATATATGAAAATTTCTAAAATATAAATAGAAAATATGACTTGATTTTTAATAAATTAATTTTCACGTGGCGCCATTTGATTTGCCACAAAATTTCTTTATCTACAGTCATGATCCCTCAAATTTACACAAATTATATTATTTATTACATTTATACAATCAATATTGTGATTCATATGTAATTAAATCGTTATGTACTATTTCTTCTAACCAATTATCACATTTTAAAACATAATACCATTATCTAAGTTATAATTTAATATTATATGCATAAGTTTAACTCATACCATTATCTAATTTATAATTTTAGTAATATATGCATACAAATAACTTATAATATTTTATTACATCAGTGCAAATACACATGAACGAATACTAGTATATAACTACACTTAATAGGGTGTATTAATGTGAAAGGTAAAAAAAATTATTAATGATAATATTTTGGAACCGAAAATGGAGAGAAACCAAATAATTTTATTAAATGTTTTGCCAACAACTATATATATAGATAGGGAAGCTATAGTTTTGGGAAATTCAAAGTATGATTGTGTATAGATTATAATCTATATTTATATAACTGCTGACAGAGCAATTAATAAAAATCAGTCAGCATTTAATAAAAATAATT